TATTTCAGATATTTCTTTTCGATGCTTTACTCGTACCACAATTATGGAATTTGTTATTTGTTTTTGAGTTGACATATTTTAATTGACAAGCAAATATTGATGCGATGGTTTGCGATTAAATCAGCACATTTATTTCTGCCATCACTAACAGTGTCCATGCCACCCTCTTGCCACCCCATTCATATCTCTCTAGATCCACCCCTATGTGGGGCAGAAAATGCTTCGGAGAGTGTCACAAAGCCTGCTGACAGCGACTCGGATGAGAAAGCTTTTGAAACTGATGACAACCCAAACACAGAACATGATATCGACTTCACTTTACTCCGATAACCCCCCTGAGAGTGAGGAGGACACAGAGGAGGAGGTGGAGGACACGGCGGGTCCTTCTGATAACGAATGGAAATCAAAGAAAGGGCAAATTCTCTGGTCTCCCACTCCTCCTGAGACACTTGGCCACGCTCCAGGCACTGGTGGGACCCCGGGTCCCACGCGGTACGCCACCAGCCATATCAGCACTTTGAAGTCTTGCTTCGATCTGTTCGTGACAGAGAAGATCATCAAGCTCCTCGTGGACACGACAAATGTGCAGGGGAAACATTCCATTAAAGATTGGAAGGACTTAGATGCCACTGACATGGAGGCATACATCGGGATACTGATTCTGGCCGGCGTGTACAGGTCACGTCGAGTCGACCCGCAGCCTGTGGGATGACCACACCAGACGCGCCATCTTCTGTGCCACCATACCCCTCCGTAAATTCAACCTTATAAGCTCTTGCGTGCGGTTTGAAGACGAGCTGACTCGACCTGCACGTTGTAGGAAAGACAAGCTGGCTGCCTTTTGGACCATCTGGGAGAAGTGGGTGCACTGCCTCCCCCTTCTGTTCAAACCGGGCCAGGATGTCTGTGTAGACGACCAGCTCGTCCAATTCGCCTTTACCGAGACGCACACAGCGGTGTCCTACGTACTGAAACAGGGGAAGAGCGTGTTGGTCCTCTAGACTACGACCACTGCAAAGGAGCGGTCGACAACCTGGATAGGGTATGTGCCGTTATGTACGCAATTATTCTTATTGGATTTATATCAAAATAATTATTTATCTGTGCATGATGAGGAAGAATACAGGTACTCATTTTTTCTTTTTCTTTTTTTTAGCTTATAGGCACCTACAGCTGTAAGAGAAGGGCCAGTCGGTGGCCCCTGGCTCTCTTTTACCACATCCTGGACGTCTCTGCATTCAACGCATTTGTGCTGTGGACAGCTGTGGAGCCCTCCTGGATGCAGGGCAAGACCTTCAGATGGAGGCTGTTCATGGAGGGACTGGGGAAAATGCTGGTGGCCCCGCAAATTCTGCGGAGACAGCACGTCCCACGCACACCAGCCGCCGCTGCCATGGTGGCGGATCTGCACCAGTGCGCGCCGCTGGAAAGCGAAGAGAAGGAGTCGGAGGTATTGCGAGTTCTGCCCTAAAAAAAGGATGAAAGTCGCCACTACCTGCACCAGGTGTAACAAGTATATCTGTTGTATAACCCCACACAACCTTATACTGCAGGTACTGTAGCTACTGCAGCACATGAACAGAAGTGAACTCTCTTTCACACACATTCAGACACAGTTCTCATAGTTGTTTTTATATTTTCGCTGTTCTTGATATTTGAAGAATAAATCTGGTTCTTGTTCAAGGTGATCTTCTCTTCTTCTTTCTTTCTTTATTTCTAGAGCAAGTTTTTAACCAATTTCATGCACCTGCCATTTTGAAACTTAAAGCAAGGATAGGTGAGTCAACCTATAGTGAAATGAATAGTGGAGTAAGGCATGGCCACAGGAAGCGGGGGCACTCTGGGAGTGTGCATAAACATCACATTGCATAGAAATCAGTCCACAGACAACCGAGAAAGTCATGGATGGTCTCACTTTGTAAAGGTGTGTGTAACATTTAGGAGGGTCTATTGGCAGAAATTGAATATAATAATCATAGTGTGTTTCCATTAGTGTATAATAACCAAAGAGAATGCTTTTATCCACAGAGGGAGGGGGTCCTCTTTTATGAAGTATGAAATAACGTGTAAGGCTGGATTACAGCATTAAGATGTGTAAAATAATGTCAGCAGTATGCAGTTAGTGGAAGTTCAGAAAATACATGTTGTTGAAAGAAAATCTACAAAATGCATATTGCTAACATCCCCATGTTGACACTGGATATTCCACAAGCTTTTTGATTGGTGTGACAGTAACACAAAGAAGCCACCAGATGGTGCTGTTCTCCAGGTCATGCTATCTCTGGGATTTGTGGTCGACTCTCCCAGATTCATCACTTCAGCAGCATTTTTCCTCAAGCTACAGCGAGGTGTGTCGTGTACGTGTTTGGTATTGTGGTATTTCTTGAGTGACAGACGTCCCTTCTGTCTGTTCCGCCAGTAGCATCTTTTTTTGGTTACTGTTTTATTGTGCTAGCTGGAGGAATTCAACAGCCACAGACAGACTGATCTGTGTGGCTGTACCCTCAGCTGCCCACTAAAGCCATCTATCTCTGTCAGGGACAACAATAGTGTTTATTTGGCAGATAATAAGCCTGCAAAATGAATTATAATTCATTTTAATAACTCTTTTTCTACATAATATATAAAAAAAGATCTGACTAGTGAATGTCTGAGTTTGATTTATTGAGCCTGTTTTTGGCTTTGGATTCCACACATCTGATGAAGATATCTGTCAAAGAACATGTGCCTATATAATACGTGAAGTGCATCTTAAATCTGCATTATTCTTGTCATTACCCACTTCCTTTCATCTCCATGTGCCACGGATTGTGTAGCACAAAGCGAGTGAGAAAAAACTCTTTGTTGGGTCCAAAATCCAGAAACCAACCATGGGAGTCTCTATACTGAAAAAAATAAACAGTGATTTGTCGCTGTTCTTGCGACACAATGGATGTGTCTTTTTGAGGGATGAGCGGCCGCACAGCCGTTGTTTAGTGAAATAAAAGCAGAGGTGAGTTTAACGTGTGTGTGCAGCAGCAGTCTGTTACATGTACCCCATTCAGAATGACTTTAACATTGGTGTTTCTCTAGCTAACTGCAACTAACTGGTTAAAATTGCAACCAATTGTCGACTTAAAGGTCCAGTGTATAACATTTATTGGCAGAAATTGAATGTAGCCTAATATTCATAGGTATGTTTTTATTAGTGTAGAATTGTGGTTTTGTTACCTTAGAATGAGCTGTTTTTATCTACAGTTGCCACGGGTCGCCTTCCATGGATGTTTCTACAGTAGCCCATAACAGACAAACCAAACAGTGCTCTAGATGCGTGTCACAGATACGATAGTTGCTTCTTGACGCTTGGAAGGGGGGAGGGGGAGTTTCGATCTGCAACTATACCGAGATGCCACTGAATCCTACACACCTTTAAAGGACCATTAAAGGTGCAGTGTGTTTACTATTTTACATTGTTTACTTGTGATTATTTCTTAATGTCTTGTTTATTTATTTAACATCGAACTGCTTTGGGTGATATGAAGTGACAAATGACTAACAAACAAATAGTAAATAATCAGCTCAGCAGCTCGTCCAATCAAGTGTGTCTGTAGGTAGAAACTTTATTACAGCATCAGTGCTGGATGAGAGTGTGCGCTGCTCCCGTTGTTCCCATGTTCATTGGTTTTGACGACGCTCCGCTCACACAGCATGGGTGCTTTTAATAGTCTCCTCATCAAACGTATCTGCATCCTGTTTGCAGTGTTTCCCCCGCCTTCGGACTGCAAATAAATTTCCCTGCGGAAGCGCTTTCGCTGCGTTTCTTGCAGTTTTATTTGACTTTGATGGTTAACTTACAGATTGCCTGGTGGATCACGCGGCTATCCGTGTTTTTGTGCTCAGATTGTGTAACAGACAGCGGGGACGTGTGTCTGTCTCATCTCTACGGCTCCAGTTTGGCATTTTCCCTGTTGTCCTCTGATATAATATTAAAGTGGGGGTGGCGGCACTGCTCAAAGACTGGTTATGACCAAAAGGGGTGAGGGTTGTCGGTTTAATTCACTGCTGAGACAATAGAAGTGAGTGAATCACATCACAGCCATCAAGACACACCGTTGACTTCTGGTTGTACTGGGCGACTTTAAGCACAGTGTACATCTCAGCAAATGAATTAGTAGAGATCATCCTTTGTTCATGGTTATGTAAAACGTTTTTTAGAGTATAGTCACAGTGGACGTTCTCCTGTAGACACAGTTTTGCTCCACAGGCAGTTATAAAACCTCAGTGGGCTGAGGCAAAATCGTGTTTAAAAATAAGCAGACATGAATGACCAGTGATTTTTGGTGAAAATAAAAATGGGAAAAGAGAGAACCTTTTTATTATTAGACTCTGACATTTTGAACCTGCACATAGTCAGATGGCTAAAAGTAGTCATTTATTCCTAGCTCTCTGAGTGGTGAGGATCAACCAAATAGGCTAAAGGGAAGGACCCCCAAAGTGTAATGGATTCTTATATACAATTATTTTACTGCCAAAGTGCTTTAATTGACACACTATAAATAAAGCTGATGATACACCTGAACTCATGTAATTTCATAATGCAAGCTCTTGTTGATTCCCAATTTGGTGTGGAAGTGGGCAGGGGGGTCCTCTACATGTCTGAAACACAGAATGTGAATGTTGTGATGCACTGAGGAAATACAGAACTACGAACACAGAAGTATATCTATATATATATATATATGTCAAATTTTAGTATTTATGTTTAATGTATTCATTTACTTTAAGGTAGCTTTAACACCAACCAGGGCTTGCTAGAAAGGCATGACTGTGCTGAATCCAGCGATATGTCATATGTAACTGTAGCAGCTATGGTGAGTGCCATCAAAGCCGTTTTTTCTACTTTAGGCAACAAGCCTACGTTGGCTCATCATGGATTTCTTTATATGGTCATCTGTAGGACGCCCATTTAATACAGAGATGCACCCATCCACCCGCCCAGTCTGTCTTAGCTATTCAACTGCTCTGCTCAGGACTTCTCTTCAAGTTATTAGGTTGTCTAGTATGTCTCGCAGAAAGTGCTTATTTGGTTGTGATGCTCAAAAAATAATATCTAATGTTTTACAGCCGCTTCTTTCACAGTGTAAGCTTATGAGAAAGTCTTTTTGGACCCATGTGCATCACTTGGCATTGCCACTGCTGTCATTACACAGTTTGGCCACTATGTGAAATTGGCTTCTAAGCCCAGGGCTCTGCTGAGGAGGATTGGTTGCTCCCCCTTGGCAGACTTCCAGAAGTTGGCCAATCGGGAGAAAGTGGACTTTTAGGGAGGGGGCTTGTTTCAGACAGAGGATGAACTGAAGGGCTGTATAAAGGGACAGTATTAGAACTGTGAATCATGTAAAGTTTCCATACCATAATGGGCAATATATATATAATGTGCAATATTTATATATATTTAACACCGTATATAGCACCGTATTTATTTTGCGAATGTAAATACTCAGGACTGTGCACCTTACCTCCCTTTTTTGTACTATTACTTTATGTCCTATGTTCATAGTGAATATATTTTTTATTCTTTTTGCACTGCTATTGGAGTTGGCTTTTTAATCTCAGCGTACATGCGTACAGTGACAATAAAGGCATTCTATTCTATTCTATTACTCTAGTGGAGTCCCAGAATAAAAATATATGGGTCTCATTTGTGAAAAATATTCAATTTATAAATTTGCAGATTGTTTTTCCGACAGTGAGCTTATGTTCAATTCATAAAACATACTGTGTTACTAACACAGGTTTTAAGAAGCCCATTTGTAACTGATGCACCTGTTTGGGATGCATGAGTCCCTCAAAATGAGCATAATATAGATCCCCTTTAATATAAAAATATAGCCTATAGCTGCTTTAATGAGATATATTGCTTGATTGACCAGTGTATTATGCTTTTATGGTAGTTTTCCACCATAAACACTCTCTCACCCTCTTATTGCCCAGACTTTGGTTCTGTTTTGGGAATGAATAAAAATATTTAAACAGACATCACAGATGTAGACACCTTCTATTCACTTAAAGCCTGAAATGTGCGCTTTGGTTTGGACCTCACCCAGCTCTGTCCCAGTGTCCAACACTTTCCCACAGTCCTCTAGGAGTGTGGCCATGCCTAACCCACAAATCTTTCACTGGGTTTTCATCACATTACTGTAGCCACTGGGTTCAGCTCAACCAATGAGACATTATTCCAACTCTGAATCCCAAATGCTTTATGTAAATCATCCACCTGCCGGCCACTCATGTGAAAACACACACACAGTGGGCAGCCTGGAGTCCCACATTTCACAGCATGTCTGCCTGACGTCTGCTGCTCTGGTGCACCGTGCCCAAAAAGAGCAGTCTGGATATTTTGGGGGTATTGGACAATAGAGCGATGCAGCATTGAATTAAAAAAGTGTTTGTGGGGAAAATGTATTACAAGCGGTCATACAAATCCAAATTCTGAATCAGTGCCAACAAACAGGCTGCACCTTTAAAAGAAAAATACACCCTAAAACAGAATTTACATTTCTACTACACTGTACAACCCAGGTTTTACTTTATAAATTGGATACGGTTTCTAATTAGGATGAACAATAAAATAAGAAACTGCAGTGCCCCACAGCACACTGTCAGCTGTTATGGTGATGGACACTGATTCCAAACTCAGTTAAATTAAACTAGGTATGGAATGAGTGTTCAAAATGATCGAAATCAATATTTTTAATGATCATCACAAATGTACCAGAGAGACTACACTGGTTGGTATTCATCAATGTCCAACAACATTGTGAAAGTAGCCTGTTATGATTTCCGTTTTAGGGTGGGTTTTCCCCATAAACGCACGGAGAGAACCATGCCTTTGTGCGCTCCTAACATCACAATACGGGAGAGGGAGGAGAGAGAGCTGTTTACATTGTGAACCAGACCTCACATTCACAGGCATCCAGCTGCACCACCGGGACAACAGCTGTCTCTCTTTACAGCCAGTTTGTGTCCGTGAAACCGTTCCAAATTTACGCTTTACGCACAGTCATGATTTTGACGCACAGGTGAACTTCTCTCTCCTCAACGCGCCTCGACCAGAACTCCTCAAGGAAAAGTGTTGGAAGACTTAAAGAAGACCCATCTCGCCCATCCCACAGTCTTTTTTTTTATTGTTTAAATCTTAATAGCTCGGAGCTTAACAGGTGACCAGAGCCATGTCCAGGAAGAAGGCAGTGAAAGGCAAAGGGAGCTCCAAGAGCCCCAAGGCGTCGCCGAGCAGCGGCAGAGACGGCGGGAGGACGGGGAAAGGTCTGGCCGCCGCTGCCGCTCCGTCCTCCGGACTGGTTTATCCCAGCAGGCCGTCCCTCAGCAACAGCGGGGAGTTCTATGACATCTCCTTCAAGGTGAGCTCAGAGTTCAGACTGAATGCCTCAAGTGAGAGATTGTACGAGCATCAAGCAGACAATTAGTAAATGACCACAGGTGCGAGCGGCCAATTCACAATACATTTGGTGATAATATATCTTCTTGTTCCTGCTAAGTTTGAATTCTACCTGTCAGTGTCCTTTCAACACTTTCTAAGAAACCAGAATAAATGTGTGTGCAGCTGAATTCAGAAAAACCAGTGAAGCGTGATTTGCACTGGAGCATGACCTGTGTTTTTCTCAATAATATGAAGGTGAGTTAGGTTTGATATTCTGTTGCCTTCTTTTGTGAAGCAGGTGAGACCAGTGTGTATGGAAACCTATTTCTGCCAAGAAAAAAAATGAAGCCATGAAAAGTTAGGCATGATTTAAAAAAAAAAAAAAAAATAGGTACTCATGGGAAGTCAAAATGTTGACCCACAGTATTATTTTATATGTATGTATATAGATATATGTGGTGTATATATTGCGACTCAGTAAGTTAGATGTTTGATACAGTCTGGTCTGACACAGTGAGAAGTCACTGTTTAACAACAATGCGTAGACGCTGCTAGCATCTGTTCTATCAGAACTGGCAAGTATTTCTTCATTAAAGGAAGAGTAAAGAAAGTCACTGAAGGCGTTTCTCGATGGAAAATATGTTTTCGCTGACGTGTGAGTAGTTTATATGGATCATTGATCCAACGGGTTGAAGATAAATGGTTCATCTAATCATCTGAGTATTTTTTGAAACAACGTCCCAGATGTTTCGGTGTAACAAACCGTATGGTGGAGTCAGTTTGAATATATTGATTTCAACTCAGAGTATTTATAAATGTGATGTTTAAATTTTAAAAGTGATCTTTAATTTTTTTAGTTTAGTTTTTCACCAAGTTTTGGCTTGACAAATTAACTGACTCATAATTTTACTTTAGACATATTTTGACTTACTGTGAGTATTTTTGTTTTTATTATGCATAGCATAGCATGCATCTTTTAATTTTTTCTTCTCTTGGCGGGAATGGGCTTCCATAGGAGCCTGTCTGGTAGCTGTAGAATATATAGTACAGGACTATGTGGATAGATGGTGGAAATCGTGCAACATCCAACATGTGTCTCTGAGCAGGCTTGTTGGCAAAGTTAATTCCACCATTATTCCCCACAGAAGGCGCAGTCCCAAAATCCATCATAAGGTAAATTATTTGTCCCCATCTGAGTAATTTCATCCGGCTGAATCCCAAAGCTCCTCTCACATGTTGGACTACAGTAAGATTTATCCACAGTGTGCCTGAGCCCTGCAAAGTTTAGAAAGCACAGTATATTAGCCAGCGGGAACATTAAGTGGTGTGCGCCACCGCCATAGCCCAGTGCAATAACATGAAAGAGATAGCGGGGAGGGGTTTCTATTATGTATGAGATCAATTACCAGCAGCACAGGAGGGAGAATTTTTGTTTAGCAGCATAATGACACAACATCTGGCTGCTACTATTTCAAAATGTACCAGCACAAAAACCTCTGCATTTTCAGAACTTTTATATTTATGAAAAACATCAGATATCCTTCACTTGTGAGAATGCTGTACACCTACACGTGACATGTAACTGTGGGTGTCTATCCCATCTCAGAAATGTATCCTGTCCTATTCTAATGTCACCAAACTTTTTTTGTAGCCTACCAGAGAGACGCACTGTCTCTGTAATGATTAATGAATATTAAAAATAATCGACAGATGGATCGATATTGAAATCACTAGGTGCAGGCCCACTGGCTGCATAGCACAGAAAGAAAGTATCAAATGGAGATGATGAAGAGTAATAATAATCTGCATTGAGCATATGCACATTACGTTTTCATCAGGTGGGTGGCAGCCGGCATTGATTTTTCCACAATGAATAACAACTGTTCATATGACAGGCCTGCCAAAATCACTGCTCCGTGCTCAGCTTTTGTAACAGTTCAGTGTCACGGATAATCACCTCTGTTCACAGCAAAGGACTTTCATATCAGAGTACACTCCTGCTAATAGAACTTAAAATGATTAACTTAGAAAAGCTGTGACACATGACATAGAGTACAAAGTGAACAGAATTTTGTGTTGTCTGATGGGAAAAATGGAAACAAACACTGTGGATCCCCCCCCTCTCTCTGTCCCATTGGTCTGTACAATCTGCTCTCTCCCACTGGAGTGAGTGTAACGCTCTGTTTCCTCCTGTAGATGGGAGTTTGGGGAGTGTGTGTGTGTGTGTGTGTGTGTGTGTGTGTGTGTTACCTTAACTCCTGTGTTTTTGTAGATAAGTTTTGAGCTGGGCTGTTTCCCTTCCGTGCCTCAACCAGCTTCCTAAAAACACACACGCACACGCACACGCACACGCACACACACACACACACACACACACACACACACACACACACACACACACACACACACACGCACAAGGCCTTGAGTTGTATCTTCTGAGCCTCCTCTCTCCGTCTGTCTGTGTCACAGGTGATGCTGGTCGGGGATTCAGGCGTTGGGAAGACCTGTCTGCTGGTTCGCTTCAAAGATGGAGCCTTTCTAGCTGGGAGCTTCATCTCCACTGTGGGCATTGACTTTAGGGTAAGCCCACGCACGCACGCATGCATGCACTCTCAATGGAAATGTGTGCAGGAAAGTACAGAATTAAGGTGTTTGGATGTTCTCGTCGTTGCTGCTCTAGCAAACTTTATGCTTCTTGGCAGCTCAAGGTAACTGAGAAATTTAAACCTCAACACACATTACCGACCATTCAAATGAAAATGTACTTGTATTTCAGTCGTTTTAGAACAAAATAAAGTACACGTTGATTACAAAACGATGTAGACAAACTCGTGTTTCTCCTTTCTAGCCAGTAACTATTGCTTATGGCAGATTGTATTACTGTAGCTAACTCCTTTTATATTAACATATGGGTTAGTTTAAAATGTATCTGTAAAGCTGGAATTGTGCCCCTGCAAAGATGCGTGTAAAAATCTATGCAGAGAAGAAGGGTGTTATGGGTAGGTGGCAGAGGCTTGCAGTGGAGCTGGGGCATGTCAAGCAAGTTGATTGGTTGATCCAACATCCTGTGGGAAGTTTCCCTGGACCCAGTTTAGTAGTTTGTTTGCACTGTAATCAGGGTGAAATTGATTTCCATTACCTGATTTCTTCTGTGTTTTCTTTACATTGTTGTTGACACAGCTGACAGTGCTTCCTAGTGGACATTAGTGTACGTTACACCCCTAATCAGCACAAGTATAAAGGAAGCACTCACTCTGAGAGCACCCAGTACCAGCTGGGAAAATGCTACACAGTGAACAGTTTTTTTTTTTTTTTTTATGTAGCATAACTCCACAATATGTAGCTGGCTGTACTGCAGGCAATATTTTTAATTTCCCAGGATGGTACCTTTCCTACTCTGCCTCTGATTGGCTTACCCTAACCAATCTTCCTTCTCATGCCTAAACCTAACAAACCCAACAAATGACAGCAACAAGTACTAGCCAATCAGAGGTAGAGTAGGGCGGGTCATGACTTCGCCAACCTGGGAAAAAGAATTTGGTGTACTGTCGGTAAGCCAGTTAGCCAGACTAAAAAAAAGACACTCCACACTCCTCGATGCTGAGTATGGCTCTTACTACAGTCGCACCATGTATGGCAGGTCTGCTGTCCCTAGTTACAGTTGTTAAGCCAGGATCTTTAGTATCTTCTTTGGGCATTTACACTGCACAGCCGTGTTTCCTAACATGGCCATTCCAGTCTGATTTTTAATTTACATCAAAGGAAGCTGAAGAGATTACGGACCATAAAGTGATTCATTTAGGTCAGCAGGGCGACTGGACAAGGTTGGTGCTTTTATGCTCTTATAAGATGTGTGTAGTTTCCTTTAAAAATGTCATGCAGCTGTAACAGCCGATCAACTTTTGAAAGTTAATGTGCTGGCTCTCCTCCCTGGTCCCTTGCAAGGTGTTTAAACCCTACCAGCAACCCCCCGATTTACCCCATGGGACGCAACACATTTGAGCTGAATTAAGCTAAATTAAAAAAAGTAATTTAAAATGAGGATATGTATTGGTGGCCAGATCCTTTTTTTTTTTTTTTTTAACTGCTAATGGCTAACCCATTTTCTGCCGATTGTACCCTGGGGGAAGTGCAGAGGAGGGTTACAGTGACAGTGAAAAACAGCCACAGTGTCACAGCAGTGGACTAGAAGCAGTGACCCTTTCAGTCTTTTACTGTCTTGTTGTTGCTCCCCTAAGCAAGATCCCTATAACTGCACAATCTGACACAGCTGTTTGGAAAAATCTTCCCCTCGGAGGCATTCTCAGTCCTGTTTTACTGATGCTGTCATCCACAGCGATTTACAGTAGAACAAGTGTAACAGTAGAAAGAGAGGTTAAATTCCTGTACATTAAAGCCAATAGCAGGAAGTGATAACACACCGTTGATGCTGCCCAGCAGGATGTCTGAGGATGTGTGTTAACTGACACCCCTAGCACAAATAAGAAGCAGTATGACATGGTATTAACGGGATCACTCTGCATATAAAGCATGCAACATCATTTGGTGTTTTGCCCTCGAATCAGAAGCCTTTGGCTTGTTGTTTTACCTGATTCCTCAGTCTCTTAAGCAACACATCAGATAACAATGAGGTAAAAGTACACTCACATTGGAGCGACTTTGAAATAAATGCTGCTTTCCTGCGGCGATGACTGTAAAATAGGACGGTGTTGCAGGATACAACATCATAGGCACAACTGTGCTCTCGACTAAAGAAAACAGAACAGTCTTTTTTAACAGAAGTACCACAGGCAGCAGAGGTAAAAATAGAAGAAAAAAACGGTCTTTCATCTGCATTCGTGGTAGAAAGACTTTGCAGACTGTGCAGCAGGAATTGGCCATTATCACTACCATAAACACACAGACTAGAATGCATGCACATCCAAACATGTTTACAGCATCTGGATCAAAAGATTTTATTGTTTGCCTGACACAGCCTACCAAAAACCTCTGTGAAATGTTTGTTCATTCAACTACTGGAAGCTAACGGTACAATGAGCAGATGCATTGTCTGTTTCTGTTTCCTCGTTATCACTCCCATACCACAGAACTGTCTTCCCTGGTACTGAAGGTTGACAGTATGAACACATTATCATGATGAATCATTTATTGGACACCAACTGTAAGCACACACTCTTTTTCTCTATAGGTAATTGTTATTCACTTTTGCTGACTTGCCCAGTTTACACTCACATCAGCACTGCTTCCATAGTCTCTAACACTATAGCCGTCACATCGACCCTTACCCTAACATTAAACCTTTGTAATATGAATATAATGGAATACACATTTTGGGCAATACGCTCTTGTGTTATTTGCTTTCTTGCTGAGCGTAAGATCAGAAGATTGATACCACTCCCCCGTCTGTACACTAAACATTCGACACTCGCCCAACCAATATGGGATTTCTGAGACTGATACCGATTTTAGAGGGGAATGATTCACAGATAAGCGTTCTGAAATGAAAATATACCTTTTTTTTATGGTAGATAATAAGATAAGATGATACAACTATGCATAGGTTCTTGGCTGCTTTCTTAAACAAATTACTTGCTAAATAATTCAACGTGGGTCGGCCAGTAGACCGTTAACTTAGCCTTGCATAAAGAGCTTGCCTGTCTCTGATGACAATAGGTAAGGTAGCATAATCGGCTTAGCAGCACCTCTAGAGATCACTGATACACGTACATGTTTGTTTAATCTGGGCAAGAACTGAAGGTAAAAATGTCCACCGGTAGTTGAACGGTAGTGTCATTATACCAAGCTGCACAGTGACAAAATGCATAACATATCCATTGATGAGTTTTAGAGATGCTGGTAGGCAGGTGTTGTTACCCGATATTGTTGTATGGAGCTCCAGCTCCGGTGTCCATCTTCATCATCTAAATTTTTAAAAGTGTAGATGATGAAAACAGAAAATAAGCATATTCTCCCAACAATGCAAAACTATTCCTTTTTATCCTAAAAGTCTTCACCTTTTAAACTGCCCTCTTTTTTTGACTCGTGACTGAATCTCGTGAATCTAAAAATGAAATAGTCTCTCAAAAAGATACATACGCACACTAAAAGCAGTCTTGCAGTCTTTTGTAATCGCTCTGCTCCGTCAGCGTACTTAATAAATGATAAGGACATTATGTACATAGACGTGGAAATAATCTGCATGCAACACTTCAGTATGCACTTTCTTTTGTAACAGTAATTTAGGAGAATGGTATTATTCCAAAAATGAGCAAATTGGAACTAATCCTCCACTGCTACAGGCGTGTGTAGTGGATGTTTCATGATCTGATGCTATTTTTAAATAGCAGAATCCATTTCTCTGTGCTTCTTTTCACTTTTTGTTTTCCTCATGCTTCCTACCTTGAGTGAGTTCATACTTTGACAAGCTGCATACAACTAAAAATTACAATGAATGTGGCTTCTCATCCGGTAATATGAACCTGGCTACATTAGTTTTGTTGAGTTCATTGAAAAATTGTTGAATATTTTGAATGCCATCAACAAGTTGTCTTTACTTTGTATAACGCTATCCGTTCATTAGCACTTATTAGCACTAGAGCTTGATCTCTGTAGGACACATGGATGATCTCCACAACAACTCCATTGCTAGAAGTTTGTGTAGTTAGGGTGCTCTTTTTAAATCACAGAAGCTACATCCATACATTTTCCTTTAGGAAGTACATGTAGTGACCTCTCTACCTTATTGACATTCCATGACAATTAACAACTTTCTTTAATTCTAATTCAGATAATTCTAGTCATCTCATCAGCCAGTCCATGCTAAAATATTAGAAATACCTGCTGGGGCCAGTTATCTACCAGGGACACATGGATGATGTTGGTGTTGCGAGTATATGACCAGAGGGCAAACATCCCAAAAGCTCTTTAACTCACACTGTTCAGTGATATTTGAAGAGATGTAATTAATTTTTGGCAGCGGATTTGCAGCGGACAGAGTGCAGCGGAGGTCACCTCGTCTCCGTGCTTAATTGAAATGGAAGTCTTTTCATCTGAGTTGAAATTTTAATATAGATAATGTGTTACAAAGTCAACGTCCATAAAGGCCAAACTGCGGCGAATTTGTTGCTCAAAGCTTTAGGGCAGAAAACAGTTATTGTACGTACAAGCTTTGTTTTCCAAAGTTAAGGACTGACAGCTCTTGCTTATGTCGTCACTTAGTGTGTAGTTTTTATGCACTTTCCTTCTGTATGTGGGTAGTGTGAAAGGCTGAAGCTAAGCAAAGTTGTGACAATATAAAATCCTATCAGTGAGCGAACAAAACAAGCTTGTTATCCGTTCACACATCAGGCCTATTACCCAATCGCTCAGCTTTGTAGGAAATCAACGCACTTCCATCCTGATGTGGTGTTTCTCGCAGTGTGAATATGAGGTCAAACTTAAGTGCTGCAGCCTCTGTGTCCCTCCGGCACTTCAAACTATCCTCTTTTCTTTTTTTTTTAAAGCAGCAATGAGCAGATCCTGGGACAGGGATGCTGGAAAAGATGTGCAGTATTGTGCTGCTCTTTAGCTTAAAGTTGATA